GAAAAGGCTTCAACGAAATGGCCTGGTCCAGTCCGACACAGTCATCTGCCGCCACCGTAAATTTCGACCGTCGTGTCTTCGACCGGAAAGACCGCCAGCGGTGTGCCCAAGCAAGCCCTTTGACATCTAGTAAATTGACGGGAAACTCCTGTGTAATCGGCCAGCCGCAGGTAGATAGCTACAAAGCTTGAAATTAGCAAATCTGCTACAAGACAGCTGCCAAGCATCTGACAGCCACCATAGAGCAAACAAAGTCGTTGTAGGTTGTACTGCAGGTGAAGTTTGCTATGGTATGCTATAGTTACAAATAACGAAACAGCCGCACCAAGACACAAAGGCAATCGTACCTCGTCTTGTGTGGATACTTTGGGGTCCTACATGGTCCGACGCAGTCTGATTTCTGGACCCAAACTCGCCGTGGTCGGGAACCGTTTCCAACGCACCGATGCCAGGGCTTGCCCGTTCTCTACAAGTGAGACAGACAACTTCTCGTTCTCATTTGGGGTTTCGACCACCCTTTTTTCCATCGAAAACGGGAAGATGGAACCTCTTCCACCTCTTCGCCGTCGACAGACACTGGAACAACACCGAAAAAAAAACGCTCTCGCTGGGCTCTCCCGGCTCTTTCACCGCCAGGCTGGGAGCAGGGAACCTCAGGCTGGGAGCGGCCAAATCTGAAGAGGAACGAAACAAAAAGGAAAGAATTCAATAGTAGTAATGCCCTTTGTTGCTATAGATGTTACTAGTAGCGATGCCCTTTGCTCCTACTAGTGTCCTTGTTACTAATAGTAAGGCCAGGAGCGCCCCTAGTAGCGTCCTTGCTCCTAGCAGTGATGCCCTTTGTTCCTAGTTGTGTCAACTTCATGAAAGGCATCGGGAAATATCCACCGAATTGTTTGTTTGGGGTCACCAAACCTTGCTTGCGACGGTGAACCACAAAATCTGTGCGACGATTGTTCGGGCTGCGAGTCAGCTGGTGGATAACCATCCAGTTTAGAACTTCCAGGCACCAGCAACCAACGACCGAAATCCGACATCAATTGGAGTCGAACGGGTCCTACAGATTTTCTGCCCCCTCTGACTTCCGAACGGCCAGGTCTAGGGGTTCTATATTTCAAAAGGCGCACGCCAACGCAATGGAGCCATCCAGAGTTCGATGTCTTCGAACTTTGTGGGGGATCCCCCAACTTCGCCAATTTTGGAGAACTGGGGAGCTGTCGACAGGTCTTCCAGCATCAAGACATGATGTCATAGCAGCCTGGCCAGAGGCCCCTGAAACTCCAATCGCATGGCGCACCCAGGATGCTTGCAAAGGAAAACTGCCTGAACCGGCCACAACTGGGGCAGTCGCCAATCGCCACCGTTGGTTCATGATGACGTGGTCCCCCCTTTTGTGGGCGATTTCGCGGGTAAACTTTGTTGATCCGATAGGAATCCCACTTCCCCAAAAAGGGATCATCACTCGAGGACAGACCGCCGAATCCACTACGAAGCCAACAACTATAGTTTCATCTTCCTCTCTCCTCCAAAATCATCACCCGCTCATACCTTCCACATGGGTCATGGCGTTCGTCCAAAACTTCGAGTCTCAAACCGCCAACAACTTTGACCCGGATCTTTTTGGGAGGAATGATTCAAACCATAATTCGACCTGTTTTGGATGGATCTTCACGTTGCAAACCTCTTTTTTTCGACATGTCCCACCACTGGGTCCCGCACGTGCGAGCGCGGGTGAGTGCCTGGCGCTGGCGACGTGGAGCCCATCCGTCAGGGGGGGACCGGAGGACTGGCGTACCGCATACCCCGTGAAGCTATTAGGGTGAAGGCCATTAGTAACAATAAGCTACTAGAAACAAGTGCCACGCTAGTAGTAACAGGTGCCTTACTAGTAGTAACAAGAAGCAAACATAACCCGTGAAGCCAACGGGTTTCAGGAGAAAAGCGGAGGAAAGAGACTGAATCAACGTGACCCGGACGACGTGACCCGGCACGCTCCTTCGACCCAGCGAGTTCGCAAACACTGTGCAGACATGAAAACACTGGCGCCCGATCGGACCGTTGTAAATTCCGATCTTGATCAATCCCAAAGACTGCTTCGAGGGTCAAACTGGAGTTGCACTCAGGAACCTGCCAAAAATCATGTGCTGGGAACTACTTCGCTCGGTGTCTATTGCTTTGGCAGATCCGCTTTTGGAGGATGTCCCGAAGCACCATCCCAAGTGGAAGGATAGTAAAGAATGAGGGACCAGGGATGCCATTCCCAACTACAGTAAATGCAATGGTGTCCAATACATATCAATATCAACTTTCCAGATGTTGGGCTCGGATCGGCGGCTCAAGCAGGAGACACAAAACGTTCCCCGCCCAGCTCAAGCCAATCATCAACTCAACTGACCTATGGCCTATGACCAAACAAAGCTGGAAGTTGTCACAAGATGCAACCCCATGGATGCCATTGGAGAATGAAAAAACCTTAATCTTAGCCAGAACCAATGGTATAACCAAATCAAAAAGATGAAAAAGAAAAAAGAAAAAAACGGCCATCCACGGCCCACGGTCTGCCCACCTGACTGCTTCGTCGCACCACCTTAGACGACCGCCACGCAATAGCGTCGCGCGATAGCGCCCCACGTCCGGCAGGGTCGACCGGTGGAGATTCCTTCGACGCCAAAGGCCAAAAGGCTGACCGTCGGCGCAAAAGAAGCGCTGAAATTCCTAGAAAGATCCATGGGAGCGACGTTTTGGGATGATATATACAGTCTGCTTTTCAAGACGATCCGACGATCCGCCTGGCAATCCTGGCAAAAGCTTTGGGTGTGAAAATCCTCCACGGAATCCCATGCAAAGTGCATTGGAATCACCCGATCCGTTTTCGACGTGTACGATCCGTGTTCATCTTTCATCCTTGCACCCCGTGCATCTCAAGGGGGGGCCCCCAGCCTCGACGAATGTCTGGTGACCGCGGTGCCATTTCAGACATTTGCATGACCTTTGGCCCCTTGTCCCTTTTGTCCGGACGTCAAACTCCGCCAGCAATGGCCGATGTTGTAAGACCACGTGGGGGATGGGTTCGATAGACTCATTCTCACTGCATCTCACCGTCACACCCACGACACACCCGGTCGAACGTTTTTTGCGTCCGTGTCGACGTTCACATCTCCTGCGGACGTTGATCTTAGTTGATCTTTTGATCATTTGGGCCGAAAGAGAAGAACAAAAGACTCCAATGGACTCCGTTGATTGCTCGGACGTGGTACGTATCGTTTATTTTGCCCGAAGAAGACTCGAAGGACTCGCCCCGAAACGTCCGTCCGGACGCATTCCGTTCCACCCCGGTCTGGGCGGTCGGGGCCGTCGCATCATCTTTGGAATCTCTGCGTCTTGACTCGGAGATCTTCCTGAAAGATGGGAGATGGTTTTCTCCAAGAAAAACACACGTGGGAGTGAACCAACCCTGTCGAAATCTCCAAAAGACCCATACTGTGTATATATGTATAATTAAGATACATCTAGACTAAAACAGCATGCAGTCATGCAGTTAAAGCATGACCGTGTCTTCCACTGATGCTGTTAATCACATTGAGGATTTTGCGAATTCCTGCTAAACCCCTTCCTGTCAGCCTCTACTCTACTGGTGCTTTAGACTTGAAGCAGCTGGTCGTCTATATTCACGCGCTCGCTAGCTGCCAGTCAATTGGGACAATGTTTGCCAAGCGAAACGGAATGGACCCCTCAAGCACGATGGATTCTGAGGATGGGCCACGGACCCCTTCCATGGAGGGTGCACCCATGGTGCACCCCCTGCTATTGATGTTCACTCCCATCGACTTATAACAGATTCTTCACACGGGTCCCTCCCTAAACGAAGCAAGCTTACTCATGGAAACCGCTTTCAAAACCATGAAGCATGATTCGTCTTTTTTTTGTTCCGGGGCCAGGATGTTTGACTATGGGGATGCTTCGGAGGTACGCTTCCGGGGTATGCTTCCCTGGTATGCTTCGAGGTATGTTTCGAGGTATGTTTCCGGTGTCAAGACTACAGTAGTAGCATTTTGTGAGGGTTTGTTTCGGGGTATGCTTTGCAGAAGTCGAACATCCCAACTCTCTACATAAACTGGACACGACAAAAGTCCAGTTGCCCTGCCGACTCGACAGTAGGTAGCAAAAAAGGCACGACAGTCGACAGACCTATAATGACCTATAAATATGTGAAATCATCTGCCTGAAACGGCCTACAATGACCTCTAATGACCTACAACGGCCTTGACGGTCGCGTTTTTTCCCGCTTCCGACGCTTCCCTCCATGTCTCCCGCCTCGAGGCGCGCGCCATCGGGAACCCACTGGGCCCAGTTGCGGCGGACGAACGGCGTGGATCCCAGTGGGTTGGACGGTGAAATCCGCCGAGTCCCGGAGTCTCAGACCGACCGCATGGCCTAAGGTGAGAAAGCCAAAGGAATGATCGCAAACATTCGCAAACCAACCATGGCTGGTCCAAATAGGTTTCCATGGTCAGCCATGATTGTCTGAAAAAATCGGATGTTTGGTGGGTATCATTTCGAGCATACGCACATCTTTTTGTTGCTCATGTGCTTGTTAAAACCAAAAGGCCAACCTCTCTCCGAGGCTCCAAATCAGGTGCGTTGCCGGGGAGGCCACGGGCTACCCAAACTGGGATTGCACCCAAACTGCACCCTCCAAAACGCTTGCATCAGCACTTGTAGCGTCACAAAGAATAGAACTCCTGCGACTCCTCGAATTCTTCTGAAAAATCCAATCGACGTGAATTGAGACATCCTCAGTGACACCAGCACCGGGAGCCCGACCTACACAGCGACCGATGCAATCAGGACATCAGTACCGTCATGAAACGAACGAAGACGTCCGACTCAGTACTGCCAGATTTGTGACAAGAAATGGTGCCTGACATGTTGCTTTGGGCCTGTCCTTTTGGAATCCGGCTATCCACTTCATCCATGCTTCTCTCTGGGCTCCATATGATTGAGCAGTCTTTCACCGTGCTCACTTTTCCCCGGACCACGAAACAGTGGCGCCCATCTCTTTCTGCCTCAACTAGGCTAGTTGATCATCTCCCAGATTCTTTCCATCCACTCACTGTGCAGCGCTCTGGTGCGGTTTCTTTCTCACCGCACGCCACCGACCGTGTTGTTCGTCCGAGACGGGAGACCTAAGGCCGTCCTGGGCGGTGCGGACGGAGGCAAGGCCCGAAGAAAAGCCGGAAGATGAAGTGGAATGAAGCGGAAAAAGGCATCTAAAATTACTGTTCGGAGTGATTTGGAAGAGGTGATCCGATGTAAACTGGAAACTCCGTGACTGAAGCCAAGCACTTTGTGACGTTGCAGAGGCTTCAAACCTCTTTCTATAAGTCGTACATGGAAGGTGTTAGTGGCGAGACTGATGCTGTGACCCGACTTCATCACAGGGATGAAGGAAATCCCACTGCGTCTGCAATTCCCTACTATTGCCATCAGTCTGCACTCAGGCTCTCTCCCTAAGACTGACTCCCTGCCCCCAATTTTTGACATCTGGGACAGGAAAGTCATCTCCCTAAAGCGCGGTGCGGTTGCCAAGTGCTTGGGGAGGAGACAACAGAGCTGCATCAAACCTTGGGCCAACATCAATCAACTCCGTAGAAACACCAAAGACCAACTTGCTGAATCTCCGCAGAAAGCCCCCAAACCCTTGATTGACCCCGTCAATAGTATGCCAGTCCTAAGGAACCTAGCGATGCACTTGTTACTAATAGCAAACATTGTTACTACTAGTAAGGCACCTGTTACTACTAGCGATGCACTTGTTCCTAGTAGCTTCTTGTTACTACTAGTAAGGCACCTGTTACTACTAGCGATGCACTTTTTACTAGTAGCTTCCAAAAAGCCTTCTGGAACAAGAGGGGCCATTGATTCTGATCATCACTGCCATTGCCCTTTTGTCTGGGACGCCGAGCGCATCTGGCCTGTGCTCTGGAGCAGGTGCTCAGCGGAGGAAACGTGTTCTTTTTTCTGGGATGGGAACACATCAACAAGTCTTCAGATTGAAAACGCGCGATCTGTGTGCTGTGTCAAAACATTCTACCTTAAATGGCCTGGGTCTACCACGAGATATCTTTATGTAGCTTTCGAGATCCAGAAACGATACAGTACCTTGGTGTGTTAGGTGTTTCTTATGATGCACAATGACATGTGCTTGATTCCGGTAATGACTGTGAGTAGATCGCTGTTGGATGATGACGATGATGTTTGGTTTTCTCCATCAGGTGTGTGTGTGTGTATCTATATATTGGTAGACACCGGCTTAGCACATCGTTTGCAAAAATGATGTGCTCGAGGAAGAGATTAGAACGTCGTCTAGAACACATGGTGCAAAGACATTCACTTAGAACCCAGGACCAAGAACTAAGAACGTGGTGGATTTCAAGCCTCATGTTCATACTTGGCAGTCATTGAAACTCTATGTTCTAAGCGTGCTTGCGCTGCTGCTGTCTCACAGTTCTTGGCATTGAGTCGAGGGGCTTGCAAGAACAGTTGCCAGTTGCCTTCACGTCCATGTGTATACATGTTACATATATGCAATGTCACAATGCCTTAGCAATACACAGATGCTATAAAATGTCCTTACTAGTCTGTATAGTCTAACTCTGCCTTGGAGCATCCTAGCCAAGAGCGATGGCACAATCACTTTGGACTGTTCTAAGCGTGGGCTCCCCATATACATGGATTTCAAAATCATTGAGACAGCTCTGAACATCTCTAAGCCGGCTCTTCCTGTGTTCTAAGTGATGTGTGCTTATGTTCTTACACTTGCTTCATGTGTTCTGATTTGTTTGTTCTTGGTGTGTGCGTTTTTGTTCTAACCACATGCCTGTTTGTTTTTGTTGCTCTAAGTCATGAGTTGTGCCGTTTGGAAAAAAAAAACAATATTCTACTAAGAGTTTGTCCAATGCCTATTTTGTCAGTCACTGATGCCAAACACTCGTCACCCCAAACAGCATGCAAAGCCAACTTTGAGACTCAGCCGTAAAATGTGTTCTGGCGTCCCCCAACGGCACCGGTTTCCACGTCCCACGACGGTGTCGACCAAGGCCCGCGAATCGGGTGACGTCCGGGCAAAAATCAATGGCGTACTCACCAAGGGCCTCCCACCTACTAGCGATGGCCTCCAGCCTAATAGCGATGGCCTCCAGCCGAAGAGCAACAATGGCCTCCAACCTAATAGCAATGGCCTCCCACCTACTAGCGATCGCCTGAGAGGGTGACGTTGGAGATGCTGATGTTGGGCAGTTTGTCCATCTCCATCTCCTCATTTGCTCCGTGGGGCGAGGGCCGAAGGAAGAGACATGTGGACATGTGGACAAGGATCTTCTCCAATGGACAGGATCTTCTCCCTTCCAATCTTTGCTCATTTTGAGGAAACTCGTTATCTATTTGGGGCCCTCTATAGAATGGTCCACACAAGGTTTCCGCCCGATGCCCATGTTGGCCATGTGGACTTGACTGACAATCCTTTGGATTTCCGATTACAGGGCGATCCCCAAGCTTCGCCGATGCACCACCCTTGTGACCAGGCAAGTAGTCTTACGCACTTGGCACTTGGATGAGTTTGGATGATTAAACATATATTTATCATGCTAGGAAAAGGATAAAGACTTGCTTTCCGAGCTTATTGAGAACTTGTTGATGCCTGTGCTATCAAGTTACCCTGGACTCGTGCGTGTAGGCTGTCACCCCAAATAAGAGCTCCGCAAAAAAGAGCTCCGCACATCGACTTCCCCCCCATTCGCTCCGCCGTTCGCTCCGCCGCGTGCTTCGCCGCGCGCTTCGCCGCGTGCCTTCAACATGTCCCGGGTGTCAGGGTCTACCTGGCGCCCGTGCAGCGAGGACCCAGCGGGGGGCCCCCGCATGAAAGGCCGCCGTTTGAGTCACGGTGCTTTTTTTCCTTTCTTTCCAGCAGTTCGTAGCCAGTTGATTCTTGAGAAACACAGACCAGCAATTCAATCCGTAAATGTTTTGCTGTATATTTAAAAAAAAAAAAATAAACATGCTGTCATTCTGCAACAAAACACCAGTCAAAGAGATGTGAGACGCAGCCCAGAAGAATTGCCTATGTGGTGTCTCCAACTTCGGTTCGAGGAAGTGGGGTGGAGTAACCGCGTACGTCTGGACCCGGGAAGCGATGATGCTGTACCGAAACCGGCAGAGAAACCACCCGCTGTCGCCACTTCTCGGACCCCTTCAGAAGCCAGATCCATCTGCCGAAGTTCCACAAGTTCCACCAGCATGTTGAAGGTGTTTGAGAACCGAAAAAGGAGGAGATGCAAGTACCGCCAGCCTTCGCTTGCCCTTCCGAAGACCCCCAAATCCAATCCTCCCGCTACCCCCAACACAAAAACTCGTTTTTGCCGCGGGCCAACTGCTTCCAGAGCGGTGTCTTCACCTCTGCGGCTTCGCGCCTGGATGTACTCCGTGTTCACCTCCGAACGCTCGGGCACGAACTCCATCCTCCTCTCGCGCTCCTCCTCTTGGAGCTTCAGCGAGATGCCACGCACGGGACCTCGGAGAGACTCGGAGAGAGGTCCAACGCGAAAGCCGTGCGGCGTTGGGGCGAAGGTGGGTTCGAAATGGGCAAAAATCCAAACAAACCGTTTCGGATGATTCTACAATCGATGCGGCATGGCGTATACCATTGACATGTATGTATAATATGTATATGATTATATATTGTATGTATTATTCTTTGATGGCAAACAAGACCGCTTCATCCATCAAACGTTTAACAAAAGAAACTCTAAACTTTAAACCCTTCGACGCAACCATCCGGTCAACGGCGGATTCGGAAACTAGGGTGGCCACGGATTCGCAAACTAGGCGCGGCGCGGATTCGGAAACTGGGATTCGGAAACTAGAACGAGTCTGAATCGGATATAGTTTCTGAATCGGATCTGTGAAATACGAATATGTCCACGCTACATCACCACAAACATTTCATTAGATCCCCACCCCACTCCCCAGTTTCTGAAATCAGCCGGTTTCTGATGAATCAGCAGTTTCTGAATCTGAATCGGCCAGTTTCTGAATCGGAACTAGTTTTCTGTTGATCGACGCTTCATCCATCGATGTTCGGCCGGTCCAACGCCACGGTCCAACACCCGTTGACCCGTTGGTCTGACCAATCCAAGGAATGTCGCGGCGGTCCGGCCTCGTCCGGCCACCGGTTCCGGACACGGTTTCCAGGGACTTCCCTCCAACCTAATTAATAGTTTCTATCTACTACGTAGTCGTTTCTTGTTACTAGTAATAATGGCCTCCAACCTAACAGCGATTTCCTCCAGCCTAATAGCAATGGCCTCCAACCTACTATATGATCTATATGTACAGAATGAGATCAGACTTGTTCGCTCCCGTATCTACGTGCAACATATTGTCTGTTCCCATGATCTCCCACGGGACCTGCAAAACGTGCAATCCGCCCAGAGGCCCTTCTGGATGCGCTTCATGAGGTGTGTCGTGAAGCCAGCGATCTTATTCCCTCAGCTGAGAAACTCAGCAGGGCAGTTCTCTGTGGGATACTGACTTCAATCTTTCTACACACCAAGCCCTGAAAGGGGATTCTAAGTCTCAATCAGTCTAATTCTAATTGAGTTGGTGGCCTATCTCATCACTCCGATCTTTCGCTTGGCGCTGTGGCGCTTCCACCGCTGCCGGAAAAGAATCGCGAAAAAGACCGCCGCCAGGGCCCCGCGTGTTTGCAACGTGGAGATAGGAGTTCTTTTGCGCCAGCATAGACCCCACATAGCATTGGAATCATTGCATTCAAGCTGTCGCGGCTTCTTCGCTCGTGTTTCATAACAAGCGGACACAGCAGCGGCACCCTGCAGCAGCCCACACAGCAGCGGCACCCTGTAGCGACACCCGCCCCCAAGCCCCAGCTACTAGTAACAGGTGCATCGCTACTAGTAACAAGTGCCTTACTAGTAGTAACAAGAAGCTACTAGGAACAAGTGCCTCGCTACTAGTAACACCCAAGCGAACACAGCAGCGGCACCGAGCAGCGGCACACAGCTGCCCTGCAGCGGCAAGCGCTCCAGTAGCCAGGCTCGAAAGCGCACACATGCAGCTCTCCGTATACTTAAGGTAAGAACCCCAATAGCTCTCGCTATCTGGAGAAAAAGCACCTTGCTACTAGTAGCTTCTTGTTACTAGTAGTAATGGCCTCCAACCTAATAGCGATGGCCTCCAACCTAATAGCGATGGCCTCCAACCTAAAAGCTTCTAGCTACTAGTAGCTTCTTGTTATTAGCAGTAATGGCCTCCAACCTAGAAGCCTTTGTTACTTGTAGCTTCTTGTTACTAGGAGTTTCGGGTGACACAGTTCCCACCGGTCTCAGTATCTGTGGATCGGGCAACTTCGCCCAACCGCCTGAAACTTGTGAGAAAGACATCCAGAATACTAGTAGCGAGGCACTTGTTCCTAGTAGCTTCTTGTTACTACTAGTAAGGCACTTGTTACTAGTAGCGATGCACCTGTTACTAGTAGCTGGGGTCCAGAATACTTAAAAGGATCAAAAGGAGGACCCAATGGACCCTGTGGTCATCCCTTTCAGGTCCTCCCCAGTTGGACAAGGTGATGGTTACCCTCAGGTCCCTCTCTCCGCCGAGGTCTACTTCTTCCCGCTCTCCCTGTGTTTGGGTCCGCTCCACGGAGTTCCTCGCTGAGGTGCGCAGCCGCTTCGAAGGGATCGTGGCCACCTCCTCGGTGATCTTCTTGTTGATCCTCAGCGTGGCGAGGGCGTTGCCAACAAACACGCACGTGGTGAACATCGCGTTTCACTGCGCGGAGGGCTTCCGTGGCTTTCTTTTTCACCAAAGCACAGCACGCAATCAAATTCGAGTCTGTGGCATCCCACGGGACTTCAGCAAGGTTGCAAACTTGTTGCTGAAACCTGCTCGCAGTGACTGAATGAGGTAAAAAACACAACATCGAATGCTGCTCATCCCC